TCTCTGATGCATAACAAGTGATTGCAAAGACCATGGCCTGTATCAGACACACCTTAGTCTCCAGACTGACATCATTGCTCTTCAGTACCCTGGAGAGGTCCCTAACAGCAGACTTTCCCATTGCAATGCGTTTTTTTTTTTATTTCCTGGCTAATGGTGCCAAGAGTGTTGACCATGGATCCAAGCAGACTAAAGTTGTTAACAATCTCAGTCTCTTCACCATCCATTCTGATGCTGCCAATTGGTCCAGTGGTGAGAATCTTTGTCTTCTTGACATTGAGTTTCAATCCATACTGGAGGCTGCAGTCCTTGACCCTCTGCAGCAAGCATTTCAGGTCCTCCTCATTTTCAGCAAGCAGGGTTGTGTCATCTGCATAACGCAGATTGTTAATAGATCTTCCACCAATCCTGACACCACACTTCTCCTCATAAAATCCAACCTCTCGGATAATCTGTTCTGCATACAGGTTGAAAAGGTGTGAGATAGGACACATCCCTGGTGTACGCTTTTCCCAGTATTGAACCATGCAGTGTTTCCTTGCTCTGTTCTGATGACTGCCTCTTGGTCCAAGTTTAGGTTTCGCATTAGAATGATCAAGTGTTCTGGGATTCCCATTCTTCTCAGAGTCAACCACAGTTTGTTATGATTCACACAGTTAAATGCCTTTGCATAATCAATGAAACACAGATAGACATTCTTCTGTAATTCCCTGCTTTCAGCCAATATCCATCTAACATTAGCTATAATATCCCTAGTACCACAACCCCTTCTAAACCCAGCCTGGACTTCTCGCAGTTCTCTGCTGATGTGCTGTTACAGTCATAAATATCCTAGTATAATAAAAAACAAAACCCAAAAGCCCATTGGAGGGTCATGTTAGGTTGGGTTCTGACTTGACGGTACCCAACAACAACAGAATGTAGGTTGTTGATGAATCTTCCTCTAATTCTGATGTCATACTCCTCCTTATAGAGTCCAGCCTCTTGGATGATTTGTTCTATATATAGATTGAAGCGGTATGGAGATAGGATGCATCCCTAGAGCATACATTTCCTTATTTTGAACCATACAGTGTTTCCTTGCTCTGTTCTGAGGATTGCCTCTTGATCCAAGTATAGGTTTCCCATAAACACAAACACGTATTCTGGGATTCCCATTCTTCTCAGAGTTAGCCACAGTTTGTTGTGATCCACACAGTCAAATGTCTTTGCATAGTCAAGGAAACACAAATAGATATTTCTCTGGTACTCTCTGCTTTCAGATAAGATCAATCTAACATTGACTATAATATCCCTCATGCCATGGCTTCTTCTAACCCCAGTCTGCACATCTAGCAGTTCTCTGTTGATGTGCTGTTTCAGTCATTTTTTGATAATTTTCAGCCAAATCTTGCTTGTTTACTAGTGATGCTAGGATTTTGAAGCTCAGTCTCAAATACTTTGGGCACGTGGTTTGGAGAAATCAGTCCTTGGAGAGGGCTACTGACCTGGTCCCAACAATATTAACTTTATAAACAATTAAGTAAAGTTAGATGTTATTTTGCTGTCGAGTGCTACTGACTTGGTTCCAACAATTATCTACAACTTTATCTACAATTAAGCAAAACATTGACGCATCTTACACCACATCACAGTCACTTGAGCCCATTGTTGTATCAACTGTCTAAATCCACCTCCTTGTAGAACTTTCTTTTTTTTTTCTGACTGTCTACTTTACCAAGCATGAAAGTTCTCTCTAGGGATGCACCCTTCTTGATAATATGTTGAAATTATGTATGATTATTCTGGCTGCATTTGTTCCAAGATAGACTTGTTCATTCCTTCATAGTCCACAATATAGTCAATATTCCTTGCCAACATCACAGTTCAAAAATACCAATTTTCTACACAGCGCAAGGGCGATGCAGCGCAAGACGCAGCGCGAGACGCAGCGCGAGACGCAGCGCGAGACGCAGCGCGAGACGCAGCGCGAGGGGGAGGCCGCCAGACGGGGGACCGCCGCTAGAGGAACCTGGAAGAGACCTGGGAAGAACAACAGCCAGCCACCTACCGCGGAACTCCAGAGGAGCGAAGACTGTGAGACCCCAGAGGAAGAAGACTACCGGACACTGTGTGACCCCCCTGTAACCCACACCTGTGTGACCCTTAACACAGAGGGTGCTGCTGCATAAACCCCCAGCGGCACCCAAGCCCCGTCCCGACCTCTTGGTGATAGTGTCCAACCCCTGCGCTCCTTGCCCCCTAGTCCCTTGCTTTCCTCCCCTTCCCCCACCCCCCTTGCAGCTCCACAACCACACATCTCAACCCCCACCACAGCCCTGTGACCTCAGGGCACCACCTTGGATCCAGACATCACCCGGAGCTATCAGGCAAGCTGTTGAGGAACTAACCTGGCAGGAGAAAGGCTGGTTGCAACACCACCATGATACATCTTCAAGGATATGAACATGTACGGCCAAGCACAATCAATAAGAGTGCATCTAAATTCCAAAATCAATCTCCATAATAGTCTATGTGTTTCCTACTGCCAAAGGGGCCCTTTAGAGTAGTGAGAGAAGATCTTCACCCTGAAACCCACAGCGTCCCTTTTCAGCAGGAAGTAGCTAAGAGAATACGCCATCCCCTTTTCCTTATGAATCAGGGTGAAGTCTCTCTCAGGGAGGAGTGATAGGGAATGGCAAAGGACACACTGACAAAGGAGATTAATCAGAACTGACTTTGACAAGCACTGTGGCAATTGGACAATTAAAACAGACATTCGGATGGCGGTGAAGAAGAACAAACTGGGGAGGAGGGTAGAGAGAATGGTGCAGCAATGAAGGAATGAAAACCCAAAATCCCTGTAAATGTTCATTAAAACTAATAAAATGTAATAAAAAAATACCAATTTTCTTTGGTTTTCCTTATTCATTGTTCAGTTTTCACAAGAACAGCACAGGCTAGGTCAGGCATAACTTAGTCCTCAAAGTGACATCTTTGCTCTTTAGCACTTTAAAGAGGCTTAAAAATAATCTGATTTTATGACTTCTGCTTCTGTGGGCCTTTATTGTAGATTCATTAAAGTGAAACAGTGCAATTGTATTCTATCAGTTCCCAGAACTTTGGAATGGCTTTGTTGTTGTTTAATAAGTATTGAAGAATTCTAAGGAAAAGAAGTATAAAAAATATGAATACATAGATTCACTGTAACAAAATTAGTTGATGTACTTTGAATTGCTTTTGGAAGTAGCATATGACAAAGAACCCATGGCACTAAAGGAAGAAGTCCAAACTGCACTGAAGGCATTAGCAAAAATTAAGGCTCTATGAATTGAAAGAATATTTACTGAGATGTTTCAACCAATGGATGTAGCATTGGATGTGCTCTCTTGCCTGGGCCAAGAAATTTAAAGAGAAGTAACTGTCCAACTGTTAGGACAAGATCTGTATTTGTGCCCATTTAAAAAAAAATAAAAATAGTTCAGAAATTATAAAACAGTATCATATGTAAGTGAGATTGTGCTGAAGATAGTTTGAAAATGACTGGAATGTACATTGACAAAGATCTACCTGAAATTCAAGCTGTTTTTAGAAGAGGTCATGGAAAAAGGGGAGATGCCAGAAGGATGTTGGTTGAAAACAGAGAATACCAGAAAGATGTATATTTGTGTTTTATTTACTATGCAAAGGCATCTTGCCTATGTGGATATTAATAAATTATGAACAATGTGGGGAAGAATGAGAATTCAGAACACTTGTACTAATGCAAAGCCAAGAAAGACTACTTCAGGTCTATGAGTACATGAGCTGAGAAGTAGCCATCCAAATAGAGCGAGGAGATAACACATAGTTTAAAATAAAGTGTCAAGGTTGTATCGTTACACCATGCCTATTCAATGCTAACCAAATAATTCAAGAAATTTGAATGTGTTATTAGAATTGGAGAGGAGGATATTATTAGATAGAAGAAAGACTCACCAATAACCTGCTTTATGAAGATGAAGCAACCTTGATTGTTTAAAGTGAAGACAACTTTAAATACTTACTAAAGAACACCAAAGACTACAGCCTTAATGTGCTAAAGAGGAAGGATATCACTATGACAAAGTATGATGGATCTAAAACATAGTATTTTCAATTGATTCATATGATGTGCAAGTTGGACATAATGTTCAGCAAGATGTTACTTGCATATAATATTAATTATATTACTTGATAATTTCTATAGTTTATTGGATCATCCTTCTTGGGAATGGGAACAAATATGGGTCTCTTCTGGTTAGCTGATTGGATAGCTCTTGTCTTTCATATTTGTTGGTAGAGACTAGTGAGCAGGTCCAAGATTGCATGTTTCCTGAAAAACTTCAAATGTTATTTCATCGATTCCTGGGGCCTTATGTTTTTTCCAATGTCTTCAATACAGCTTGGTTTTCTTCCTTCAGTACTGTTCACTCTTTATCATATGCTACTTCCTAAAATGTTTCAGTGTAATAATTCTTTTTGATGAAGTGACTCTCTCTAGTCTTTCCATTTTCTTTGGATGCATTATTCAAGATTTTGCCCATAGAATCCTTCAGGATTGCAACTTGAGGCTTGAATTCTTCTTCAGTTTTTTTCAGTTTAAGAGCTGTCAAGGGTGGTCCTCCCTTTTGATTTTTTAACTCCAAACCTTTGCTCATTTCATTATACTTTGAACTGTCTTCTCATGCTGCCCTTTGTAATCTTCAGGTCAATTCCCTTACTTCACCATTCCTCCCCCTGTTTGGCTTTTTTTCATTACTATACAAGATTCAGGGTCTGTTCTTACTTCAAACGACAGGTTTGTTTGTTTTTTTAAATTTATTTTAATGAAAGTTTACAGAGACTATGGATTTCCATTTGTTCATTGTTGCATACTTTCCTCCCTGCCTAGCTTCCCCCCCTTAGCTTTTCTCTTTGAAAAGTAAAAATAAATAAATACCTACATACATAAATACATATATAAATACATAAATAAATGTCTTTGTTATACAATCCCCCCACTCCCAGTCCACTCCACTATACAGCTTTCATTCTGGATTCTTGTCATGACTCTATGGACTGCCAAGAGAACTAACAGGTCTGTCCTAGAATGGCCAAAACAAAATTTCTATTTGAAGGCTGAGATTTTGAAACTCTGTCTCACATACTTTTTCTTAACCAATTAACTTGTGTAAAACTTACTATTTTTTATTCATTTTCTACATTTTTGTGTGTATGTATCATGGATCACAACTCTGAGTGTTATGTCCCAAATTCCATTTTCCATAATTCCTGTGACTTGCATCACATGAAGACTTTTAGTCACATGGATTTCCCTTTAGAATTACTTGCTAGAATGAATGGGGAGGAAACCACGTCTATGACAGAGAACTAATCTTCTTTTGCAATTCAAGCAGATAGAGCTGTCCACCAGGAGGTCCTGCCCTGAGGTTAGGTCTGAGTAGGGCTGTTCCCAGGAGTGACCAAGAGAAATCTCCAAAGACAGTTGCAGGGCGGGGGCAGGGTATCTTCCAGCTTAAGTGTGACAACAGTCTGTCCTAACAGTAGTCAGATAAAACTGAAGAATAGTATGTGATGGATCATGAGAAGATAAAGGCAGGACGAAATTATTTCAAGACTGATTTATACTTAAAACTTCAGAAGTGGTATGAAGAACGAGAGATCCAATCTGCACTATAATAAAGCAAGCATAGACAGCAACAGATCGAAGAGAGGAAGAAGCCCTTAAGTCAACATCAACCTGAGAGCATCTTCATGGTCCCCCTCCCTGCACCAGTAAGTAAACCAGTAGATGACATAAACACTGGAAGGGGAGGAGGTGGGGTGTCCCTGGAATTTTTTCATGGCCTATGACTATGATTTACTCTATCCTTGGATTTCTCAATTTCTTCCACCTCCTTTTTCTTTCTACCCTTCCTTTGGGCTTTCTTCAAGGCTAAACACTGTACCTAGAGAAGAGGTAACAAATATGAGGCTGAATTCAGACTTGCTCATCTGAAAACTGGATTGTTCTCTGATCAGAATAGACAAAGGAAACCTCATGGCTAGCACATTGTCAGACACACAAGGCTCTCAGTTAAAATCTGGTGAGTATATAACCAAATTCTGTGATGCTAAACTCATGAGTCACACATGAAATATTCCCAAAACAAAAGAAGATTTTACAAACGTGAGGCTTGATCTTTTCACGATTTTACACTTTTCGAGAATAGACGAGAAAGTACTTCATAAATTGCTTAATTTGTATAACACAGCTAATAAGATTCTCAATGAAAAATTTTAATATATTTTTATGAAATCAATGAAAGGAAAAATGAGATTGACTGTTGTTATTATTTCCACATTGTTTTGATCAAAAGTAAAGAGAATTATTGAGTATAATACCTAGAAAGGATAGTCCAAAATTATCATCTTTGTAGTAATTATATAGTCCTCCTAGAAAATAAAAAAATCCAATGAAATGTTTATAACTGACAATAATTGGTACACTGGTAAACATAATAAAAATCAGTTGTTTGCCTACATATCAACAGCAACTAATTAGAAAATACACTTTAGAAAATATTAAAATTAAAATTTTCAACTAGTAAAAATCTTAGTGCTGATATGTATGAGGAGTACCTTTTGGAACAGATCTGAAAGTTAAAATAAAGGAGAGAAAGGTCATTTCCTCAGTGAGAAGAAAAAGTAAATCTATTTAAGTTGTTCATTTTTAGAAACTAGTTTTGTGTTTTCTCTGACCACAATGAGATTGGGATATTTTAGAAATCAAGACAGTAGTGAAGCTTTTCCCTGATCCAATCAGCAGGAGACAATGGAAGATACCCAAGGGCACAGCTGAGCATGTGCTGGAGACAGCTGCTGAGTTGTAAAGCTACCCAGCAACCCCGAGGTTCTGCCTGCCTTGTGTTTGCCTTCATTACTCAACTATACAATAGGGCAGGAGCAAGGAAGGAACACGACATGCACAATCACTCTTGATACTGGCAACCAAGAAAGAAAATTATGTACTATATTGGAAAACTGCAGTCGAGGATCTCTCCAAATTGCTAAGGAGCAATGATGTCAGTTTAAAGACTATTATGCATCTGATTCGAACCATTGTCTTTGCTTCCTTTTTTTTCCAAGAACAAATAGTAATGATGGACATATTAAAAATTTCATCCCCAAAGGGATAGACCTCTGTCCCTGAAAGGAGATATGTAAAAAAGGCCCCCAAAATTATCTTTTCAATCTCAATTGCAATGCATTTGAGAGTTGAACAATGAATTAATGTGACTAAACAAGAATCAATGCCTTTGAACTGTGATGTTGGAAAAAAGTACTGAATATCATATGGACTGCCACAAGAACAAATGAATATGTAGAAAAAAAAAAGAAAAAATAATCAGAAAAATTTTCAAATCAATCTGACAGTAATAATATTAAAAAACAGTTTGAAAAAGACCACTGTATGCTAATTACATTATAAATAAAGAAAAAATTGCTCACAATGTACTTTAATAAGAATTCGCAGATTAAAAAATAAATGAAACAAAATTTAGTAGAATACTTGAAAGAATATGTGGAAACAGAGTCATTAGCAGTTATAGGAAAAGATATTGAAACTATTCTTTAATTCTTTGTAAAATAATTAAACAATATAAATCTTCTTACTCAAAGAAACAGAGCCTACTCAAGAAAAATTGATGATATATTAAAATTAATCATTAAAAATAATAAATATTATTATTTATTATACATTACATATTATATAGCTATTGTTTAACTCTTTGGAAAACAATGCAAAATTATAAATAACTACTACTTTATAACAGAGGCTACATAAGATAAATAGATTACATTTTAAAAATCCAACAATTAACACTACTAACTATGAATAAAAACTACTTATGAGAATTCAAAATTTAATATTATTTTCTAATTATTCATCTTTGTTTTGAATAATTTCACTATTTGAGAATTTAGTGCAAATTTATTTGGTTTTCTATGCAGAAAAATGTATTTACAGTCTAACATTCTTTTTCATTTCAAGGAGTTTAGGAAATTTTTTCTGTGGATATTATGATTAAATTTTTGACAAGGATTCCTAAAACCCATAGTTGTTGTTGTCATGTGTGCTTGAGTTGCCTCTAACTCACAGCTACCCTGCATACAATAGCTCTGAAGCCTACTCGATCCTGAACCAATCTCACTGATTCCAACACACCTATTCTTGTACACCAGTTAGTGTGTCAATCCATCTCATCTGAGGTCTTCCTCTCCTGCCCTGTCCTTCCACCCTTCCAAGCATGATGCCTTTCTCCAAGAACTGGTCCCTCTTGACCACGTGCCCAAAATAGATGAGACAGAGCTTCAAAATCCTAACCTACAAGGATAAACTTGACTTCACCCTCTCTAGGACAGAGCAAAGTATTATTAAACATAACCACATAATACGTTTATATATCTGATGTCCAAAAGTTGTAATATTGTTAACAAACTTGCCAAAATCTAAAGAATAAAAGTTGAAAAAACTGGAAGCTGTGTGAAGAAGCATAAACTTGTCAGAGATTGAAATCTCAAATAATTCACCAAGATTAGCAAAAAATGGGAGGCTATACCCTGTTGTAAGTGAAGACTTGGAAGACTTAGAAAAACAAGGAAGTGTTATTGAGTTCTGATTCACACAGATTTCACTGTATTATGTACTGAAAAACTAAATTAAAAAAAAACGTTTACAGATATTCATATGAAATTTCCCAGAACACAAACTCCTGCACATAAAATATAAAAAATATTTCAATGTATTATGATTATCTCTAAGTGGTAAAATTAGTTTTAATGGGTAGTTTTACCATCCAGATTTTGCTTTTCAAAGTGTTTTAAGAGAATGTAATATAATTATTTTTCTTAGTGTTCTAATTGTAAAAAGGGAATGCATGCTTATTTTAATCATTCATTAGATTATCCATATATTCTACCTACGTAGAATATATGTGTGCAGAAGATCTAAGACATCAATAAATACAGCAAGGAAAGTATTTTGAGAATAGGAGTTTTGTAACTTAAAAATTTCTACAAAGAGGTCATATTTTAATCAAATAACAAAAGCAATGGAACAAATTGACAGCTATATGAAAATTATCTAAAACATATTACAAATTTTTCTTTTGTGACAAAATAACTCGAAAATATTTTACGAAAAACCTCCACAAAACTCACTTCATAAAAGGGAAAGGCTTTTATGTAAATGCATATGCACTGCACTGCTGTTAAGAGACCTCTCCAAAGTGCTAAAGAGCAATGATGTCAGGCTAGAGACTAATGTGCACCTGATCCAGTCCTCCCACAGAGATGCATCTGTCTCTCCTGAATCTTTACTTTCTGAGAAGTAAAATAGGTCTTTAATAATCCTCTGTCCCGCTTTGTGTCCATGTCCTCGGGCCTCATGTAGATAAACACCACTAAAAGACTTCTACCGCAATTGCTCTTATTAGGGTCTATTTTGTCTGTTCCAGTTGCTCTTCTCCCAATATTTCCCAGAGACTGAAAAAACAAGGGGGAGATATCATGATCAAAGTGACTGAGTTATTGTGGATGAACCTCATAGCTTTAATAGAAATCAAGAAGATCTCAACACTTACTGAAACTTCCTTTTTGCTTTTCCCTTTCTTCCCCCCCCCCCCCAGAGTTGTTGTGTACCATGGAGTCAGAACCCACTGATAGTTGACTCTCCAACAGGTCTTCAGAGGCAGTTGATTTGCAGGGGAGGAGACTGTCCATCTGTCTCCCGTGGAGTTGGTGGATTCAAACCACATGCCTTTATTTTATTCTTTTCCAGAGAGTGGCTTACAATTAAAATGTCCCCCCAGATGTCTATTTCCTGGAATGTACATCTTTCTAATAACTCAGGGTTTCAAGTATCTGAATTCCTCCTGTTGGGCTTCCCAGGCATTTACGATTGGCAGCACTGGCTCTCCCTGCCGCTGGCTCTGCTCTACATCTTAGCTTTGGGTGCCAATCTCCTCATCATGATCACCATTGGCCACGAGGCTACCTTGCACCAGCCCATGTACCAGTTCCTTAGTGCCCTTGCTGTGGTGGACATTGGCCTGGCCACCACCATCATGCCCAAGATCCTGGCCATCTTCTGGTTGGGTGCCAAGTCCATCAGCCTCCCTCAGTGCTTTGCTCAGATATATGCCATTCATTGTTTCATGGCCATGGAGTCAGGCATCTTCCTCTGCATGGCTGTGGATAGATATGTAGCCATTTGTCATCCTCTTCAATACCCCTCCATAGTTACTGAAGCTTTTATAGTCAAGTCCATAGTATTCATGGTGCTCAGAAATGGCCTGTTAACAATCCCAGTGGCTGTCCTGGCTTCCCAGCGACACTACTGCTCCAGGAAGGAGATTGAACACTGCCTCTGCTCTAACTTGGGAGTCATCAGTTTGGCCTGTGATGATATTACTATTAACAGGTTCTACCAGTTGGCTCTTGCCTGGGTTGTGGCTGGGAGTGACATGGGTCTGGTCTTTGTTTCCTATGCTTTGATTCTTTGCTCAGTGCTGAAGCTGAAATCTTCCAAAGCAACAGCAAAGGCCCTAAGTACCTGTAGCTCCCACCTCATCCTCATTCTCTTTTTCTACTCTGCTATCATTGTAGTATCTGTCACCCACCTAGCAGGGAGAAGGTTTCCTCTCATCCCTGTTCTCCTGAATGTACTGCACAATGTTATTCCCCCAGCCCTTAACCCCATGGTGTATGCCATCAGGACCCAGGAACTCAGAGTGGGCTTCAAGAGAGTTCTTGGTTTGACTGATGGTATGTTCAGGAAATGACTCAAATTACGAATAGAGGATGTGATACTACCAGAGGACATAGGCTTTGAAATCTCAAAGATGCAAAATAGAATCCCAATTTCCACTTTTTAATGCCACTGTTATAAAAGAGGACTGACCTAGGGGTTGGGGGGAGACTGAGAAAGATGGGATAGATAATGTATGCTGCACTGAAACAGATGAAGGAGATACCTGTTTAAAAAGGATATATGATTAGATATTATTGTTATGACAGGAGTCCAGAATGAAGGTACAATAGTGGAGTGGACTTGGGGAGAGGGATTGAATAATAATGAAAGAATCTTTTATTTTATTTTTCAAAAAGAAAAGTGAATTGGGGGAAGGGATGAGCAGGGAGAAAAGTGCAACAATGAATGAATGGAAATCCAAAGTCTCTGTAATCTTTGATTAAAAAAAAAAAGAGATAGTGTTTCCTAATTGTTGTTGTTTTGAGTACAATCAAGTTAGAACCAACCTATAGCAACCTTGACCCTTGGGCAAGTTTTCTGAGGTAGATAATCACATGTGAAGAGATTGCCCATCCTTCCTTCTCCGAAGAAGCAGCTGGTGAATTCAAACTGCTTGCTTTTGGAATTGCAGCACAGCTTCTTAGCACTCTACTGCTTGAAGCTCCCTACCTATATGTGCAAAAATTCACACTCTCTAGTAACATAATAGTTGATGTTTTAAAACTCACCAGAGGGTCCGTGGAAGGAAAGATCTGATAGTTTGATCCAGTAAAAAATGACAGTCTAGGAAACCCTATGGGACAGATCCACTCTGTCGTACAGGATCCTCGAACTGGAATCTGCTCCATGGCAAACAATAGCTATACCACAAATAAAAACATTGTAGATTAAAATAAACATGAGATATTGTTCCTGACTGAGTGAAAATAGCATACATTATTTAAATGACAGCAACTGATATTTCAAGGGTAAATCTTAAAATAATTATTTTAAGTGAAACAACCAGGAAGCAAAATGTGAAATATTATAATACTCTTTTTATATGAAATGACAAGAATAGGCATATCCATATATAGAGTAACTTTTTTAGTAAAAGCATATATTCTATATAGTATTTGAGACATATGTATACTAAAAATTATTGTTATTTATGTGAGAGTAAAACTTAATTGAATGTCCTGTATTTTATCAATAAACTTTGTAAGAGTGTAGAATTTTTTTTCCAGGTAATGTGGATGAGGGTAGAACTGTTCCTTTCTGGTCCCCTGGGAATACATTATGGGCTATAAACTTGGGAGCTCAAGTATGGCAAACACTTATCAAACATAATACTTAGGAAATGTAATCTTTCCCATTTTGCTTAGCAGACTATGTTCTATTTTAGTTGATTGTAACCTAAAAGGCAGAATCATCCACTTTACAACTTGCTTGATTGTTAACAGTTTTAGTTTACTTGGTTTCACAGTCGACACTTTTGGTAACAGCAGCCAGGAAATCAGGAGACAAATTGCATTGGGAAAGTCAGCTGTGAGGGACCTCTCAAGAGTTCTGAAGAGCAATGACGTCAGGCTGGAGACTAAGGTGTGCCTGATCCAGGCTATAGTCTTTGCAATTCCGTGCTATGCATCAGAGAGTTGGACAATGAATAGGGATGATAGAAAAATAATTGATGCCTTTGAGCTGTGGTGCTGGAGAAGAGTGTTGAATATACCATGGACTGCTAGGAAAACAAACAGGTTTGACCTGGAGAGGGTGAAGCCAGAATGCTCCTTGGAGTCAAGGATTCTGAAGCTTCGTTTGACATACTTTGGGCATGTTGCAAGGAGGGACTGGTCCTTGGAGAGGGACATCCTGTTTGGGAGAGTGGAGGGACAGCGCAGGAGAGGAAGACCCTCGATGAGATGGATCGATTCTGTGAGCGGAGTGGTGGGAATGAGTGTGTTTGAGACAGCGAGGTTGGCGCAGGACAGAACGGCATTTAGGGCTCTTGTGCATAGGGTTGCTATGAGTCTCAGACGACTCAATGGCACATAACAACACCACCACTCTGAGAATATCCACTATTTTCCAAATGTACCTAGAATGCAGAGAACATTGACAGATCATATAAAAGAATGTTGTAAGTTGCAGCAGGAAGGTCTTGCTTTTTTAGAGTCCTGGTAGACTTCAAGCGCCCAAGATACACAGCCTTAATTTAGTAGAGCAACTCATTGCAGACACCATCAGGGTTCCCTTGTTTTTAGATAGTTGTGGTTTTAGGTACCTTCGAACCAGAACCAACTCAGAACTTACCCTTCAGCAAATTTTCAGGGGACGTAAATGACGTGGGACAACATTGCCCACCTTTCTCTTGCGGCGGAGCAGCTCGTGGATTTGAACCAGTCACCCTTGGTTGGGTTAGTAGCACTACTATTTACCACTAAGCCATAGACGTTACCACAATTGTTTTTCAGCAAAATTCAAAGTCTGGACAAATGACTCAAAGGGATCTTTTGGTGTAATGAATTATTGTTTTAAGATAAATCTCTCTTGCTAAAAATTCTCCTTGTTTTTATTTTAGTAGCTACTGGAGAAGTCCTTGAGTGGTGCAATTGGTTAAATATTTGACTGTCAGACAGTATGCTGGTGACTTGAATCCACCTAGAGATGTCTCAGAAGACAGGTTTTTGAAAGGTCAAACTAAACCAAAATCTTTCTATGGGCAACTCTTCACTGGATTACTGAGGCTGCAAATCTTTACAGGAGGAGATTGCTTTCCTGGAGAGGCTGGTGAATTCAAACCACCAACCTTTGGATTAGTAGCCCAATTTGCAATGTACTATACTTTTAGGCTTCTTTAATTGAAAAGTGAGAGCCTTGAAAACTCTATAAAGTAGTTTGGCTGTATAACACATGGGCATACCACGACTCAGAGTCAACCTAAGAGTAGCTAAACAACAACCTAACTGGACAAAAGTGTGTCTAGTACAGGACTTTGAAAACCACAGCAGCCTGATAAATACTTCGTCATTAAGGCTTAGTCATTTAAGGAACTGTAAGTAACTTCCTACTCCCTAAAACGTTCTGAACCATGGAATGAGACATTTTAACGAAAGTCATGGATTAATTCATGTTTGTTCTTTAGTTCCTTGAAGGACAGAAATTGGATATTGAACCATGGTTTTTATAAAATCAGAACAGCAGTGTTTCAATGCAGTCATGATACGGAAGGTAGAAGCAGCCAATTTTCTACGTAATCAGGCCTTTAGCAGGAATGGGTGAACTTGACCGTTGTACTTAGATATAGTCGTGAGGTGCTAAGATGTGTTCCTTTACAAGAAGAGATGCTGCTTTTCAGCTTATCACCAACATTTCCCATCCAATGAACAGAGGGAGGAGAGAGAAGGAATTGCAGAAGAGGCCTCCAGATTAACTTTTCCCTCCTTGTGCTTCCACATTTCCACCTGGAGAGGGCAGAAGAAAAACAGTAATGTCCTTCATACTGTATTTGGCAGTTTAAAAATTACTTCCCCATACAATCTCATTCAGTATTCATAAAATCCTGTTGGTTAAATATATTTCTTCAAATGCAAAATTTGTAAGAATCTGAATAGTTAAGTTCCAATTAACACAGTAAAGGTCTGTTTGTTTGAGATAGAATAGAATATGGAATGGAAAACAAAATGCTGATGTTGCTGGTTGAACGACTCTACTTAAATGGCCTCTCCTCCAGATGGCAATTCATTAATTCTGACTTCTTCCATTTTAAAAGCTTCCATCTTGTTACATGTCTTCCAATGGCCCCACAAATAGAGAAAAGTACTTGAGGAAATCACTTGTCAGGCTAGACGTGACACCCATTACTTCTATACACATTTCTTTGGTAGCGGCCTCGTGGTAAGAAGTTGCACTGCAATCCTGAAGGCATGTGGTTCGAGGCCACCAGCTGCTCTGCAGGAGAAGGATGGGCAGTCTCCTTCCATGCGATTAACTGCCTTTGGAAAACTGCTGGAGGGTCAGCTATGGGTCAGTTCCTACCCGATGGTAAAAACAACAGCACCAGCACCTACAGGCATGGTGATGAAAAAAGAGAGCTGGCTTGTCAATTTTTTCCCTAGCAACAGTTCTATACAATAAATGAGGTGCATGAATATTTAGTAATTAATACAATTAATTTCTGAAATTTATTTTGACCTTTCTGAAATTTAATGATCCTTCTGCAATTTAGTAATCCGTTCAATCAGTAGACATTGTTTCCTTGGTTCTCTTGGGCAAGTTCAATTAGGGACTTTATGAACTCAGATACCACAGTACCCAGATTTCAATTCAGAAAACTAGTGCCACTACAGATATTTTAAGCATAAAGTAGTTTATGAGGAGGAATGTGGTATCAGGATTGGAGGAAGACTCATCAACAAATTGTGTTGTGCAGATAACACCATTTGTTACAGAGGATCAGACTGTAGTTTGCAATATTAATTGAAGCTCAACATCAAGAAAAAAGATTCTCACCACTGGGCCAGTTAGGAACATCGTGATAGATGGAGAAGAGATTGAGATTGTTAACAATTTCAGCTTGCTTGAATTCACAGTCAACAATCTTGGCACCAGCAGTCAGGAATTGGATTAGGAAACTCTGCTGTCAGGGATCTCTGCAGAGTGTTGAAGAGCAAGGATGCCAGTCTAGAGAATAAGATGTTCCTGATCCAGGCCATGGTCTTCACAATTACTTGCCATGCATCAGAGAGCTGGACAATGACCAAGGATGACCAAAAAAAAAAAAAAAAAGAACTGATGCCTTTAAGTTGTGGTGATGGAAAAGAGTATTGAACATACCATGGACTGCCAAGAGAACTAACAGGTCTGTCCTGGAAAGGGTGAAACCAAGCTGCTCCTTGGAGGCAAGGATTTTGAGACTTCCTCTCACATCCTTTGGGCATGTAGCCAGGAGTGACCAGTCTTTGATGCTTGGAAGGGTCGAGGGACAGTGCAGGAGAGCAAGAGCCCAGGTGAGATGGATTGACACAATAACTGGGATAATGAGGGTAGATG